TAATAAGTAAAGGCAGGTGGGGAGTGCATGGAGTAATATGAACCAGAAGACCTTGTACCAAGGGCTGTTTTCCTTAGCCAGCTTTCCTTGATTGGCTGCTTGTGTGCTGTGGAAGAGGCTGTGATGTATCTTGTCTTAATATCTTTGAGTTAACTCCTACCGTGTGACTATCGGCCCTCTCACCTTCTCATCTTTTGTTCAGCGTACAGAGCAGCCCTTGATTCTCAAGACTCTTTCTGGTCACTTTTGTTCACCTTTGTTCATCTGAAGGGGCACCTGGCTTTTCTGTCCGGGTTCTCTCTGGGGTCATATTGCCTGGTCAGTTGTCCCAGAGTAACCCCAGGAATGTCCTCTGCCCTGTGCTCTTACAATATCTCTAGATACTAACAGCAGCTTGAATTTAGCTTAAATGCTAAGGCAAGCAAGCTTTTGAGGCCTCATGTGAAGTAACCAAGGTTATGCAGGGCGAGTGGCATGGTTTAAAGTAATCCACATTTGCCCTGACTCCTGATTCACTTTTATAATGCTGGTTCAAGTTGCTTCCTACCAATCAATGTGCATAATTCTTTCCTTAGTTTTTTATTGCTTTACTCAATGAATTGAAGTGTAGCACTCATTAGTTGAGATCCTTACGCAGTATCTATAAAATTATCTAGATTTTTAGCTAGTACATACTGGCACAGTTGAATCACATTCAATTAGTCTAAACCAAATTACATCAGAGGTTTCAAAATTCAATAAAGGTATGGGAAAATGTCCATCTGAGTGATAATTCTGTTTCTTGGTGCATATGGCTCTTTCACAGTCCTAGTTCTGAAAAAATGCTAAGAGAAGCCAAATTAATTTTTGTTTTGTTCCATTTTTAAATTGGAATCTCTTTTTTTTCCTTCACAAATTGTCTGTTATTATTATTCATTATGTGTCCTTTGATGAAAAATGATACATGAAGAATGGTTTCTATTACTGAATTATTTTTGCACATCATGCTTAATTCTGCAAATGAAGCAGATAAAGTCAATGAGGCTCAGTTAAGAACCAAAACTAATTCTGAAAGCTAATTATTTTCACAAGGGAGACTCTTGAAGACTATAAATTAGGAGGTTGCTATTCTAAGAAGTTTTGTCTTCAGCTGAGTTAGTTGCATCTCCAGGACTTAGAGAGGAACTTTGACAGGCCTGAGGCCAACCTGTTTCCCAGCTGAAGGTCTAGCTGTTCAATTAGAGTTGCACAGCTATTTATGAAACAGGCCAAAGTACTTTGATGTTTCCTTATCTGCTTTTTAATCAAAAATGCACCCATGCTACCACTTTGAATGCAGAAATACAGGGAGGCACAAGACTCAAAACAATTCCCATCGAAACCTTTTCATTACCTCGGTGACTGTGAGATCAGCCATTGCATGGAGATTTACTTCAAAGACACTTTATTAATGTTGTAAACAAATTTTATGAGAGTCACAACCGCTCCTAGGTTAAAGTCTGATAACCTGTCATCCACTGAGCTAGAAATTGGCTTGATAGAATACTAAAAGCAATCTCTCTTCTCCAGTCTCAGTGAGTGTCCTAAGTGAGCTGTGGTTCACAAATCCTCTTGGGATCATGTGAGGACCAGAAGCATTGTCAGGTCCAACTTTGGAGAGCAGTGTTCAACCCCAATGTGAGTTTGGCCCTTTAGCTGTGGGTGTAACCAGCTCGTTGACCTCAAATACTGAAGTTTATAAACCATTGTATATTTTTTTCTGTTTCAGATAATTTTTAAAGTACAGAAATGCACTTTCGTCCCTCTTTCTATACTTTCTATATGTCTGTTTCAAAGACAATCTGACTTTCCACACAAGGAGAAATGAAAATATTGTAGCAAGCAAGCAAACATTTTAAAAACATGTCTGAATGCATCTGTTCTTCCCTCAGAAGTGTGTGTCAGGAATCTCCAGAGCTGCCTGAGGAAGGCAGATGTCTGATTCTCACAAGAACTTCTGGCACTTTTGAAGGTCTCAGGCTGTTACTTCTTTTTTCACTTGTTTGGATACCATAAAGACCCAGGCAAAAAAGCTGCACCCAAAAAGCCCCTGGGAGAGCATCCAGTTAATTGAGCCAAGGAAATATGCTGAAATACGTTCTGAGCAGCATGAACAGTTGCTGCCTGCTTTGATGCTTTGCATGTAGTCCTGGAACAGCGATGGCTATTTCAAGCTTGTGCTTGGTGGTTTCAGGCAGAAATCATTTTATTATGAGTTGCATTTGTACGGGATGTAGTACAATGAGGTCCTCATTCACGGTCAGATGACAATGCAATACAATAATAATATACATCTGTTGTGACTGTTTCTCTCAGCCTTTCTTCATTTTTCTTACTACTTCACTCTTACTGCCTCTGCCCTTCCTATTATTCCTTTTCATTAGCTTGCCAGACAAGAATATTGGTTGGGCTTTCTCTCACACACTCAGCTTGCCCCTGGAAGGCTACCATGGCACCTCTCAGCTGTAATGTCCCTGCTGGTGCTGCTGTTTTGCCCTCCTCACCCTGCACTGCAGGAGTCCTCAGGCAGGCCAGGTGAGATCTTAGTGTTCCTTCATGTCACTTGTGCCAAACAAAGGCTCTGGTCCCTTCTCATGCTGACTTTCTTGAGGTTCTCCTATTCTTCCATTTCTTGCCCGAATCCTTGATGAAACCATTCTCCAGTACTAGATAGCAACATTTACTAGCTGCATTCTCAGTTATACATCATATTAAGCCTCCTTTTGTGTAGAAGACATCATGTGTGGTTTTCACCTCTACTGGCTCCCTGATCATTTTGTGCAGTTATTGTAATATGTCGAAGAGGAATGACACAATGTGGTTGGCTCTTTTCTTCAGTTTACTGTCTTGTGGTTGCTTTTTTTCACAGGGTCAGCTGCCCCAGCAGCATCAGAACCTCAGAGCACAGAGGAAGAGAATTCCTGCAGGGGTATGGAGGAGAGTTGTTAGGACAACTTCAGGATTGGGAATGGCCAGGATTATATTTTTCCCATTATTTCCAAGAGCTGTTAATGTCCTTGGTTTATAGCATGTTGATCTGCATCTGTTGCTCCAGTCTCAGAGATGAAGTACTTTTTATATTTGTCAATCTTGGTTATTAATATGCTCAAATTCTTAAAGAGGGATATAATTTACTTCCCAGGCTTTCTTCATGTACTGCACATCTTTGTGTCACCATCCCTGCTGCTCTGAGCTCAGCAGATGGCTCTTTGTAAGCAGGTGGTATTTTTTCTTGCTATTGGAAGAAATATATTTACTGCTCATTCTGGCACCCATGAAAAAATTGTAAACTTTAAAGGAATATATTAAAAATATAAATAATATGCCTGTAAGAGTTATTGCCAAATTGATATTGGACCAAAGGCACCTATTGAAGTCATCAGCAGCCAGAAATGAAGTGTACAAGCCAACAGTATTGAAAGAACCATTAAGAATGTTAAAAAAAATAAAAGAGGCAGATAAATCTCATACTGTGATGAATGATAGCCAAGGAACATCTAATCATATCTGGGTAGCATTTAATGAAATAACTCAACCAGACAAAAATGAAGAACATGAAGAAGATGGTGTAAAAATTATTGGAATGTTCTTTGTTTCTGACAATTTTTCATTAATCTTGAAGAAGGAATAAGGATTTATTTAAAACAAATTAAATTAAGTGGTGAGGACTAGAATATGGTTCCTCTTGATCTTGGTATGGCTATAAAAACACAACTTTCTCAGCAACTTCATATTAAGGGTTGTGGGATTGGGGTTATTTTTGCAGTTTTCCAACCACCTCTCCCTAATAAACCAACACGCAGAACAATGGCTATGTTCAATTGGAAAATTGTTCACTGCTGTAAGAAAATGTGAAATACATGAAACATCTAGTGAATGAACATACAAAAGGCACAACAAACTATCAACACCATGTCTATAGGCTTCCATTCCTTGAGTAATCTGTCTTTTTACTTTTAATGTCAGCATGCCTGGAACTTCTGGGATATACTTAAGAGTGATATGGAGAAAGTGGCTCCGTGCATATTGTGACAAACTGCCTTAAAAAAAGGAGTGTTTACCCACAGATTGGACCAAAGCTTGGCTTCTCACTGTACAAATAGAGATTTCATGGGGTCTTATCTCAGCAAATGCTCATCTTTTCTGTTGTGTCCTTTAAGGAGGAATAGTCTGCTTCATTTCTGCTAGAGCCATATTGTTGTCATCAGAGTTATGGCAAGGTAATCTAGTGGAATGTGTCTCTCATTAAAGAGAGAATGCAAGAATATGTTCTCTCTATGTGTAACCCATAAGAATAGATGGAACATCATTTTGTTTAAGCCACACTCTGTAATCAGTAAATACTTTCAGATTTGAGCTGGTTCTGGTACGTACTTAAGGATCAGCAAGCAGCTGGCTTGAAACTCATAGCTGGATGAAATGAAATTTGCTTTTAGGACTTGAAATTTCAGTGCAAGCTGGGGTAAGGACTTAAACTATTCATTTTGATTCAGGAATATCACACATTTTGTACGTGCTGCAAGATAATAGAGCTGGCCACTCAATGAGCAAGAAGATATTTGTTATGAGCAAATGAGTGTTAAGTATTGAAATGCTTCTCTTTGCTTGAGTAGTAAACAGAGTTAGTTCACCGATGTGCTGTTGCTGGCTGGTTCTGCAGACCCTTACACATGTGGGTGTAATGTTCCTTTGGGGCTCAGTTCCCTTTTGCTGCTGGGACACTCCTAGAGCGGTGTGACAGGGCAGCTTGTTGCTATCAGTCATTGCTAACCATACACCAACAACTCTGGACATGGCACTGGCAGAAGCGTGCAGCTGCTAGAAGCCCTCTCTTTATAATGTGATAGGAAATTGTGCTCGGAAAGACTGGTGCCTCTGCAAAATCTTTGCTTTGTATGCAGCTCCGTTTCCTACCCACCTACTGGCAATCTAAACCAATGATCAAGAAACAAATGCATTTCTTATTTTCTCCTTTCTTCCAGATTTCAGAAACACTGATCCAGAAACTGAACCAAAACCTGGTCCATTTTGAGTTGAAGCCAGGGGTTCAAATCCTTGTCCATGCTGCCCATTTAACAGCAGGTCAGTAGCCTCTTTCTGTGCACACCCTCTCTGTTGCTCTGTAGTATATTCCTTGATGGTAGTGGCGTGCTATCATCAGCTGTATTTTAAACACTTCTTATTTTTATGTCACAATAACAACTCAGTGTATGGGCAGACATTACAATGCCTGCTCCACCTCCCCTTTCTTTATCATGCCAAAAAGATGTAGTGGCATTTGCATTTACAGCTTATCCTTTTGTTTACTTATGTGCAAGAATTTGATGTGGTTGTTGGAAATGCTGTATAACTAGCAGTAGAAATGTGTACTTCTTGGCTGTCTCTGAAATATTCAGCAGCTAAGCAGCACCATGGCATATTCAGCCTGGATCACGTAGCGCAAAGGTTACCAGCTAGCGTTGGATATATTCAGATATCCCAGAGTCAATGAACATTGAAAGCAACTAAGCACATTTCAGTAGTTGTTTGGCTGTCTGAAAAACTAGAATCAATTTACATATGCACACACAAAAGATTAGGCAGTTTGGACTTTAATCCTATCTCAAAATGAACCATCTCCAAAGTCCTGATATTTAATTAGATGCATCTCTGTGTACTCTGCATGCTAAACCCTCATTTCACAGCACAGGCCCTATTTAACTGTTGCAAGAGATGGGATGGACAAATCTGTGCTCAGGATTCTTAGGAATTCCTTCTCTCTAGGAGCTGCTGCTAATTCTGATCAGTTGGTATCAGCTTCTTTTGCTAGCTTGCAAACAAAAAGCATCAGTTCACTTGGACCAGCTTTTTATGGTATGAACAGGGCTGCCCAAGCTGGTGTCAGTCCATGTGTTGCCTTGTCCACAAAGGGAAGGAGAAAGAAACTAAGAAAGGATGTAATGCAACTGCATTCAAATCCCCCCAGAAGAAAACGTTAGTGTTTGCAATATTTCATTTTTCCTAAGTAGAACTTGCTAATATCTGCCCTGGGAATATTGTTGCATGTTTCTGCTCTCCATTAGCTGTGGAACAGATGATCAGATGCTTACTTTTAGACATGTTAAAACCAAAAGCAGAGATGCAGCACAGCTGATTAATCTGTACAGAAAAAAAAAAACCAAAACACAACAGCTTGAGAAGTCAGTTTGACTTTTTTTCTCATGTAAAAAAAAAAAAATAGATGTGTGAGACAGAAGAATTGCATTACTTTACATTTAAGATTTCAATTAATATACATTTTACATAATAGTTTTTATAAGGGAAGAAATCCTTGGCCTGAATTTTCGACAGTGACCAGTGACACTATATGTACTTTCAGAAGTGCCCATGTCAGGAAAGAAGGCTATCTGAAAGCATCTTAATGTGAGCTTCAAACGTGGAGTTACCTGCAATTGCTCATAATTTTTGAAATTTTTTTCTGTGCATTTACTCTGCCAATGCACGTGGCTGTTTTCCATTTTGGTCAATGTTCATTAAAGTCAAGACCAAATCCCAAACGAATGCTTAGAAATTACTCCTCTGGCCCTGAATATCCTGTAGGCCTTTTCTAATAAACCATAGTTAGAATCACATTAGATATTCCTGGGAAAGGCTCATCTTTACCTCTTGCTACTGAAGGAACATTCCTGATTTCATGTACTGGAAACAGATGGCACTTAAAATCATATCTCCAGCCCTGCCTTCAATACAAGATGAACCTGAATCCAAGTTTTGTACTGCATGTAGGAGCCTCCTGTAACTTCTTGGAGAGGAATTGTGGACACCCCTACACAGGGTCCCCGGCTACCGCATCCATGCACGGAGCTGGCTAAAAGCTGGGTAGCTCCAGTCCCAAAGCCAGATAGTTAGTGGAGGTACCATAGCACTTTTCTGGGCTACTAAAGCCTTGTCTGCTGCCCTGTGTGAACCAAGAGGCAGGATGTGGCGTACTGCCATGCTAAATACCAGTATGGCCTCTGGGCATGTGCTGGCCTCTTTCTTGTAGCTCAGGGTGAAGCAGAGGGTGCTTGGCTCGACATGCTGTGTAAATACATGATCTTTGTGCTCGCTGAAAGTGCACATTTTTATTTGTATTTATTCACACACTGGGAATGAGGACTTTTTGTCCATAATAGATGCGAACGCTCATTTGTCCTGCAAGGTAGGCTTTGTTGTGCTTCTCTTCGAAGCCGCTGGTGAGATTTGAGTGAATGCTGTAACTGGCCTCACAGTGTCCTATAGGAACGCTACAGGATTTTGTCTCTCACAGAAATATGATTCAGTAAGAATGCAAAATGAGCCCGGACTGCTGAAATAGATACTAAAAGGCCCAGAGAGCAGCCACCGTGAGATCTTTGAGGGACTACACCACCTTATCAAGCTGCAGAGGTCAAGATTCAGTTCCCTGTCTAAATAAAAGGCTCAATTTCATGACATCTAAACTTAGGAATAGTTTAGAATTTGACAAAACGCTAAAAGAGAGATTTACGTTGCTGCTGAAAACTATTGTTTTGGTTGTCAAGGAAGAAGAATAATTGTCCTTTTGAAATCCAAGTTTTTATAAAAAAAATAAATAAAATGGAGCAGGAAAACCTGGAAGCAGTCCCTAGAAAACACAATCCGGGGGGATGCACATGGCCCAGAGGTGCTGCTGCGGTCTATGGTATCCCTTCTTTCCCAGCCTTTCCACTATGACTCTCTGTTGGGCTCCGGGAAGCTATGAGCTGTAGCTGACTGAACCACAAAGCTCATCATGTGTTTGTATAAGTGCACATGTATGCATATGTATGCCTACATTTATGTTCCCATGCCTCAGTGTGCATGTACATTCCTCCCTGTGTGCGTGCCTGGTCATGCACAGCAGAAATTTCTGCAGCGGAGTTGCTGTAGGGAACAAAAGTGCAGGTATCTAAATTACCTTGGTGTGGATATTCAAGCAGAACCTGTAGAAATGAACGTGTTTGTGTGTGGTATGTGAGTTTGTGCATTCCCCAGAGCACAGAAGAATGACAGGCGTTGGGCTCAGCGCTTTTCACGCCTTTGTCTTCTTTGTTCAGGCCACACTGGAGGAAGGATTAATTTATGGCAATTATGGATGACAGATTGCAACCCGTTCATCATGTTCATTCCTCCATCTCATGAAAGAAAAAAATGAAATGATAGAATCACAGAATCGGTTAGGTTGGAAAAGACCTTTAAGATCATCAATTCCAACCGTTAAACTAACAATGCCATACCTACCACTAAACCATGTCCCTAAGCACCACATCTACACATCTTTTTATTTAAAAAAAATAAAGGGATGGTGACTCAACCACTTCCCTGGGCAGCCTGTTCCAATGTTTGACAACCCTTTCGGTGGAGAAATTTTTCAAAATGTCCAATCTAAACCTGCCCTGGTGCAACTTGAGGCCATTTCCTCTTGTCCTATCACTTGTTACTTGGGAGAAGAGACCAACCCCCACCTCACTACACCCTCCTGTCAGGTAGGTGTAGAGAGCGATAAGGTCTCCCCTCAGCCTCCTTTACTCCAGACTGAACTAACGTCCCTAACCTAACAGACAACCTCAACACTAAGGCAGAGTAAAACACACCAATAATCCTTGCAAAGCAGTTAAATAGCTGTTTATTACCAGACTCTCAGTGCAGCATTATGACAAGAACATTGGGTGATGCTGAGCCTGGATCATTTGGAGAGCCGCTTTGCCATCCCACAGAACTACAGAGACCCACAAAATACAGACGCAAGGGGGACAGGGTGGAGATGTGTGAGGAGTTCATCATAATGGATCATTTCATCCCAGTGCCTCACCTGCGGATAGCCTTGCTTGATGTGGGAAGAAGTTTTTTCACTTCTTTTTGTAAATTCTGGCTTTATCAGGCTGGGTGTGACAGCTGAAAACGTGTGTGCGTGTGATGTGTGTGCCTGAGTAAGTATTTGCTTGTGCATGCATGTTTTCTTGTGTCTTCTGGCTCTGGTTTAGGATGGGTCCGTTCAGCGAGGGTGTAACTGCTGTGTGCATTAGGTCTGCGTGATGGCACAGCTACAGCTGCGTGTCTGTCTCAGTACGTTTTATTAGTGCCCGCATGAACAACCGAGACTACTGGACCTATGTGCATCCCTTTTGGGATGCTAGATGACTTTCCGTGTGTGTGTATGAGTGATGGAAACTCTCTAATACAATTTACTTTGTATTTCTGGGAAAGCCATGTTTCTGGCTGTTTTGTGTGGCCTTATTTTGCAAGGGGCTATGAAAAGCAAAGCTCTGAGGAGAAGCACAGAGAGACTTTTTTTTTTATTAGGGTTGGTTTTGTTGCGGTTTTTTTTTTCTTGAACCTGTGTACTCTGTTGCATGGAAGACTTGTGGGAGAGAGAGCAGGGCACCAGGGGAAAGAGAGAACATGTTCAGAAGAGTAGGAAAGGGATAAAGGAAGAAACTGAAAGTGTCAGAGATGTGAGAGGAGCTTGCCATGAAAAGGCATGGATGCTGAGGCAGTGCCTGTGAAAGGCCACTGCACTTCTGGTTGGGAAGGAGCGGGACTGAGCAGAGAACGGTACATTTGGTGAGCATCGTTGCTTCAGTAAAATTGAGGAGCCAGTTGCTCATTATTCACAATGCATTGGGAGGTACCCAAACTAGCTCTAAGCAAAATAGAAAGTCAACATGACAAGCTAGCCCATGGGTAGCTCCAGGGTTGTCCAGAAAATGCCAGTTTGGGGACCCAAGTGACCTCATTTGCAACTACCTTAGGTAATTGTCTGCAGTATGAGAGAGCATGTTTCAGGCAGCCCTCTAAAAAGCCAGAGAAGAGAGGCCTCTAAGGAGAAAGCTATGGGACTTCACATCAAGGGGTAGGTTGAGCAGCACAGGTGGACTGAACCCAGATTTCTTCCCAGGTGGATTAGAAGGGGAGAGAAGCCCTGGAGATGTGTGGACAGATGAGGCCTGCTACAAGTACAAGGAGAGAATGAACTATGTTTCTGGAGGGAGCAACTTTCACTCCAGGCTGGGGTGGCTCTAACCTTCTTCCCCTCCCTTGCAGCTCCCCTGGTGGACCTCACTCCCAGTCACAGTGGTTCAGCTATGCTGATGCTCCTCTCTGTCGTTTTTGTGGGACTAGCCGTGTTTGTAATCTACAAGTTCAAAAGGTATGACCCTCCCTGAGCCATTTCCTTCTCCCCGTTGCTGCCTTTCACTGAGGTGTTTGGGTTTTGTTTTGCCGGGTTTTCTTTTTCGCAGTGATTTGTTTCTTGGTTTGTAAAAGCTGATAGTACATCGTCTGCCAGAGTACCCCACAATGATGGTTTCTGTTAATGTTTTAGGAAGATTCCTGGCCTTAATATATATGCACAGATGCAGAATGAAAAAGATCAAGAGATGGTCAGTCCAGTCAGTCAGAGGGAAAGCATACCTAATGTCCCTCAAAGTGAGCTGATGAGCCCTGAGCAACTAGTAGATGAGAAGTTGGAAGTCCAGCCCATAGGTAAATAATTTGCAGCATCCCTCAGCTGGTCAGACTTTGACTTATAATTGGCTAACCTTTTTCTCAGCCTTCCCGCTTCCCGTATTCCTGCACACTCCTCCTCCCATCCTCTTCTGCTGCAGCATTAGTTTTGCTACAGGAAACCTTGCTAACTCTTCCCTCTCCCTCACTGCCATGTGATGAAAGGAGGGAAACCACTTTAGGCTTTTTCTCTCTCCTAGTTGCTCTATGTAGATATCCTCCCCTCCTCAAAAATCCTGCCGGCACTTAACTTGCGCTATAAAGCAATTTAATTTATTTTGCTGGGGCTGATATAGTTGCGGGGCTAAACCCCACATCCAGGAGAACTTCAGGCACCCTCACCTGGAACACGGAGGTGAGCTGGTGATTTGGTAAGTCAGATCTAAACGCTAAATATTTGTTGATGTTTTGACTGCTGTGGCCTTTGTGTTGTGCTGGACCTTGTTGCCAGCAGCAATGCTAACCTGGTGATTCCTGGGGAAATCAAGCAAAACCTGGGGTCTCAGCACTGGAGAGCGGGGTTTGCTGCCAGGCTGATTTCCCTCAGAGGCCTCTGTCATTGAAAATTTGCAAAGCAGGCTTTCACAGGACCTAAAGTGAATAGACTTGAAGCGGGCATACTGGGATCAGTCACACATTTGCTCATACTTATATGTTTGCTGTTACCCTGGCTACAGTAAAAGTGTTGGGACAGAGGAGGGAGGTTTCAGCCTGGGGACATGTTCTGCTAAAGCCAGTGTTGCTTGGGCATTGCTCAGGCATTGCTCAGCTTCACTTGTGAGGTGACAATTCTGCAGGCCCAGACCAGAGGTACAGTACAGGACCCCTGGAAACAAGGACATGGACCTATTTTAGAGGAATTGAAGTTTATAGCTGTTTTGACTCAGACAGGAGTGAAGCAGAGTCCTAACTGAGATCCCTTATTTGTACAATCTCATCAGCTTAACCAAACTTTAGATCCCACCTGAGGATGTCCCTAAAATGTATGGGAGTGTTCGCTAAAGCAGGCTTGGAGTCACAGCTACTGCAGAGAGGGAGCAAGGGGAAGGGCAATTAAAGGAGGGAATGTGATGTGCTAAGATTGTGGCCTGTGAAACAACCTGGGAGGAAAAAGAAGAAAGTCTCTTGATAAAACTGATGTCTAAGCTTGAAGCACCACTGCAATCAATACTGGTCTCTCCTCACCTGTTCACTAAGGAGAGCTCTGGTAGCTATTAAAAGCTTTTAAGCAGCTATTCATCAGCAGATCTGGACATCCCTGCTTAGCAGAACACAGGATGAAGTGAGGGGACCAACCTTCCCATGTGGTGTTCCCCATACAGAGCAACCCCAGGCCACAGTCCAGAACCCAAGGAAAGGAAATGCAACCAAGGTAGTCTGGACAGAGGACTTCCAAAAGGCTTGTGGATCACCAAGAGGTTTCAAGCCAAGACCCGGAGCGGTGGGTCCTAAACTTTAACAATTCTTTTTTTCCTTTGTTTTTGGGTTTGTTTTTTTTTTTTCCTTTTTCCCCTAGAAGCCTCCAAGACAAAATTGATACAATATGCTAAGGGAGAAACACCCAATTTCAGGTCAGGAACTCTCTCTCTGGAGTTAGATGGGCTTTGAACTTCCCATTTCTAAAAGAGTGTAATGACCAT